CTCCCACAAAGCTGGCAGCTGCAGCTTCGGAAGGGACGCACATGGATGGAGGAAGGGGACCCCCGCCTAGCCAGCCAGATCAGACGAATCAACCCTGGCCATCAGTGGGGTGACAGATGTCGCAGCCAGATGGCCCTCACATTTGATCCTCTTGTCCTATGAGGCTTGCTTGTCTCTAGGTTCTTCAACCTTCTTCCACTTTCCCTAAACACTCCAGGCATCCACGACACTCTGGGGTATCTCATAGGATGAATTTTAGAATGACAAAAATTGCATGTGTTTACCATATCTGACTTCATATTTGGAAATGAATAGATATTAGAGAATGACCAAATCAAGCCAATTAGTAATGATTCATCCCACACATTTCACTTTGTGGAAAGCACTTAAATCAAGCTCTCAGTGACTCCGATGGACAGGAGGCCTTGTGTTAATCATCCTTGGCGTATCCCGCAGCTGAGCTCTTGAACTGCTTCTCCTTGTGTAGCAGAGAGTCTGTCTGTGGCCTCTGAGAGGCACTTTATACAGTGTTTTCTCAGTGTTTGATTCTCCATGTCCCTGTCTGCAAGGCGCAGGGTGTTTACTCCTGTTTTTTGGGTCTCAGTGCCAATATCTCTCCCCTGTCATTTCAGGGAGGACACCTCTGATGTCACCTTGTCACTTGAGATTCCTATGCTCACCCCTAACCTTCTCAGAAGTCTTTGTGCCTCAGTACTGGACAGTTATTCTTTCTACTCCAGTCTTCCCTCCCATGTTAGCTTCAAATGGAAGAAATTGTGTTCCTTGTATATGTGAGGCCATGGAAACATAGAAAACAACCCCCAAATGATGACTAAGATACAAAAAATGGTTGAAAGAACGAATGAAGGAAGGAGAGAGGATTAGGAAATGTTGGTCTAAGGGCAGAACATTTTGTTTACACATTGCTAAGGGCAGGGGGCCAATTATGCAGCACAGCTACTGGCAACTATGCATTTGTAAGCTCGGAAATTGCTAAGGGGGTGTGATAAATGTTATCCTCACAAAGAGGTAAGTTTGTGAGTTTAATCAACATTGATAAGCTTGATCCAGCTGTTCCACAAGTTACACCAAGACATCACCTTGAACACAATAAATGTGAGCATCTTAAGTTTGTCTTTTGGCATAAGTATGCTTATCTGTGATTTTCTGGGGATGCTCCTACATTCAGACAGCTTGAAGCAGGTGAGCTTTTAAGGCCCCAGTAACAGACTGGACAGAAGGTGGAGACAGAGGTAGAAAGTGCAGAGTTCCCTGGAATGAGGCAGTTCCCAGTGAGGCAGTGGGCTCTGTAGCAGACATGTCCAGTCTGGGATGTTCTGAGATTTCCTTGGATGGGTCTTTGCTAAACCTAAGATGTGCTTAGGCTTAGGTTCTTTATTGTCATGTGACAGGAATTCAAATGCACAGAGAAAGTGAGGGTGTTATGAAGGTGCACTTTGGTCATGTCTGGAGAACTCTAAACTTGGTAGGAATATAGACTGATGTGCCTAAATTGGTTTTGTGTTGTGACAATGTCCTGCCTGTGTACACTGAGATTCCTGCTCTGCTCTCTCCTAGGATATCTGCCAACTCCTTCCATCTCTGCTGAGCCAGGCCTTAGCATCCCCCTAGGGCATAATGTAACCTTTGTGTGCTCAAACTCTAGTGGGTATGATTTATTCCGCCTGGAGAGGAATAACATGCAAGTCAAGGATGAGAAGAACACTCTCCATTCCATGACAGAGGCTAGATTCCACCTTGGCCCAGTGGATGAAAGCTTTGCTGGACGCTACTCCTGTGTTTATGTGAAAGAGTCCATCTGGTCCTTACGCAGTGAGACCCTGGAGCTGATGGTAACCAGAGAAGATGTCACTCAGGCTCCAGACCCAGGCCCAGCAGTGACCTCAGGTTTGTTCCCAGGTCTCTGGACTTGAACCTTAGCTGCTCTCCCCGGCCTCAACTTCCCCTTCTTTTTCTTAACCCGAGGCTCCTTTCTCCCACCTGCCTCTGCACAGGTCCCCTCTGTCCTTGACCCCCAGATTTCTGCATTCTTACCAGCCCCCATGAATGACTTGGATACAGTCTGGGGGTGGGGGTAGGACACTGAGTTATTCCTGATTACTGGGTAGGGACTGAGCTCCAGCAATGGTGGGTGTAGACTCCTTTCTGGGAATACATGTTTTCTTTTCTTTCCACCGGGCTTGGTGATTTATCCTGTCCTTCCACTGAGTCTGAGCCCTTGGTGACTGAAGGAATATATCTCCTCTGGAGTGGTACCATCTCACCAAGCGGGTCATACAGTCAGTCCCTGGAGGGCTGGCGGGCAGGGCTGGACTATTCTCTTGGGAGTGCTTTCTTATGGCCTGCCTGTGGTCAGGCCTCATTGTCCTGGAGTCAGGATACAAAAAGAAGTTATAGTCCATTTCCATGTCTCCCCACAGCTTCCTAGGAGTTTATTCTCAGTGTTTATTGTGTGCAGATCGAGTGACAGGGTTTACAAAGGAAGGACCAGTATTCAACAGGACGGATTTAGGAAGGCCTCTGCCATATTTCCTGTTTCCCCTGTCCTGTCACTTCAGGTCTCTCTCATGGTCTGCGGCTGAGTGATGGGCAAATCACCCCTTTGAATCCATACTTAGGGTGGAGAAGGGGTCTACATAGCTCTCCTCATAAGCTTTGTCTTGTTGCCGGTGTTGTAGTTTATAACGGGTTATATGCTGGGTTCATGTCCTGACTAGCTTCCTGCTTAGCTTTGAAGCCAGGCTTATACTATCAGACTCTTCCTCCTCCTCCTCCTCCTCCTTCCTTCCTTCTTCCTTCTTCTTCATTTATTTTTTGTAGTTGTTTTATTTTGAGACGGGGTCTCTATAATTCTGACTGTCCTGGAACTTGTTTCATAAACCAGACTGGCCTCGAACGCACAGAGATCCTCCCGCCTTTGCGTCCTGAGTCCTGGGATTAAAGGCGTGCGCCACTATGCCTAGCAACCCTTCTATCTTAAATACGGAGAAAATGAACGTTCTTGGTCAAGGATACCAAGTTCTGAAAACTGCAGGACCGAAGCAGTGCCTGCAGCCACACCCAGGCCTCCGCCTGCGCAGCTCTATGCTGCCCTCTTGTGGTGTTAGCCTCACTTCTCCCATTTGTTCTGCGCCATGGAGCCTGTTGGGTCCCTCCTTGCTGGCGACAGTTAAGGGGACTCTTTCAGTGTCCTGCCTGACAAAGATATAAGGATCCCCGAGAGGAAAGTGCCACGGGAAGCGTGTGGCCTGCGAAAGGTAACTAGTCTGGGACGCTGTTGTAAGTGGAATGAGACTTTTTTCATTCCTTGTGTCTCAAGCTGCCCGGCAGTGGCACCAGGGCCACACCCTGTAGGGAGGAGATGTGGTCCCGAGTCACTGCGATCTCTCTGATCTGGGCTGAGTTACTGTGAGGCTAGCTGAACACACTAAATCACCATCCTGTTTTTTGGCTTTTTAAACAAATATTCTCTCATTTTAAATGCACCGGTCCCACGATGAGTCAAACTGGACACTCACGGTGGGGGAAGAGAAAAGGTTCTACCGTTGGAGACATAATGGAGAGATAATTAGGTGAATCACAGAATCAGGTCTAAAATTAAATGTATATTGAATGATAAAATTATCCTATAGTTAAATTAAACAATGTCATTGATGTAACAATATAATATATCTTTACAAATATATATAGCGCATGTTACTCCATTTTAAATAGTACCACATGCTATTTCATATTTGCAATATATAGCTTAACAGATATAATTTATTACTATAACACGCATATAGGCACACATTTATTAGGAGAGGAATGTATAATTTGTGTGTTTGAGAGATAATAACATACACAAGTTTTTTATATGTTAATTTATGTGATGTAAGTAACATATTATATTATTTCATATTAGTTTTCTGACTTTTTTGTACAGGAATATATGTTGTGTACTCTGTGTTCTCATGTGTGTTGAAACTCTGGTGGGTGCAGGCTTACATACATGCATGTATGTGTGTGTGTGTAGGTCCACAATTGATGCTGAGTGTCTTATTGTGGTATTTTTCCACCCTCAGCATTGAGGTGTGATCTCTGCCTGACCCCAGGACTCCCTGCTTCAGCTATTCTGAGTAGCAGGGTTGCTCAGCGGATTCTCTGTCTCTGTCTCCTGTGTACTGGGATTCTGGGCTGGCTATCATGTCCACTTGACTTTAGCTGTGGGTTCTGGGGATCTAAACCATGGTCCCCACTCTTGCACATCAAATGCTTTTTGCCCATGGACACACATCCACGGCACCTCAGCTGTGCTTATTCCCGTTCCGTGCGAATCGACAGCCGTCTGTCACTTAAGAATGCTCTTTTTGCATCTTGAAATTCACAGGCAAACCGGCAAAACCAGGAAAACCCAACCCGAGTGAGGAAACCACGACCCACAAAGAGAACCAGGGTATGTACTCACTCATAAGTGGATATCAGACAGAAAGTAAAACATAATCAGCCTACAGTCCACAACCTCAGAGAAGCTGGGAAACAAGGAGGACCCAAAGAGAGAAACACATGGATCAGTCTAGGAAGGGGAAACAAACGAGATCTCCTGGGGGAGGGGGAGGGGAGGGTGGAAGGGGAGTGGAAAGGTGAACATGAGGGAATGGAGAGGTCCTGGGGGGGAAGGACAAAGAGGGAGATCAAGGGAGCCACTGTGGGATTAGCAAGAAACCTGGCACTAGGGAAATCCCAGGAGTACACAACGGTGACCCCAGATAAAACTCTAAGCAATGGTGGAGAGGGTGCTTGAAGTGGCCTTCCTCTGTAATCAGACTGAGGACTGCCTTAATTGCCAGCATAGAACCTTCATCCAGTGACTGACGGAAGCAGATGCAGAGATCCACAACTAACCACTGGACCCAGCTCCCAGAATCCAGTCAGAGAGAGGGAGGAGCAATAGTACTATGAGCAAAGGCGTCAAAGCCATGATGGGGAAACCCACAGAAACAGCTGACCTGAGCTAGAGGGCGCTCACAGACTCTGGACTGACAGCTGGGGAATCTGCATAGGATCGAACTAGACCTCCTGAATGTGGGTCACAGTGCGTGGCTTGGGCAGTTTGTGGGGCCATTGGCAGTGGGACCTGGATCTATCCCTAATACACGAACTGGCTTTTTGGAGCCCATTTCTTATGGAGAGATACTTTGCTCAGTCTAGACACAGTGGGGAGGACCTTCATTCTGCCTCACCGTGGTGATGGCACAGACTTCATTGACTCCCATGGGAAGCCTTACCCTCTCTGAGGAGCAGAAGGAGGGGTGCACTGAGGGGAAGGTGGTGAGAGCAGCAGGAGGGGGAACTGGAATTAGTATGTAAAAAAAAAAAGATGGTCCTTTGTTCTGGGACATATGTCCATAGGCCATGTGGTCATAGGACACCTGTGTTCAGAGGAATGCATCATTGGTAGCCCATTGTGTCATCGTGTGAACAAGATGTTATTCAAGCCAGCTTAGGAGGCAGAGTCCCCTGCACACCTGACCATATGGAGTATACAGCAAGCAACCTCTAGACTGCAGTCCTGCACAAATGCTATTCTGAATGCTGCAGGCCACCAAAACGTAAGGGCAGGCGCAACGCCACCAGGGCACAGCAAGTTTTCAGCTCAGTTATGATGTTACCAAAGGCCCTTGGTTAATTGTAACATCCCAACACAGCACACGTGACTCTGTTTGCCTATGTAATATATTCTTATAAATATATCATGTGCGTGCTTATGACATGAATAATTAAGTTGCAGTAAGATACATGGAAGGGACAGAAAAGCAGGCAGGGCCTTGAGTTGGACTTGGTCAAGATGTTGAGGGAAGAGCCTCTAAGGGACGTTGTCTGACTTTCTTTCAAGGAAATTGAAGATTCTGCCTCAGGAGCAAGGGAGGGGAGTGGGTACCATCCAAGAAGAGGGGACAGGTGGGCTCCACCTTGTGTGGTTGCCTGTGAGGGGGTACAGTGAGTGCATGGGTGGAGAAGGATGGGTGTTACAGGAGAGGATGGGATGGGCACTAAATGCTATCCTCAGGGCACCAGGCAACAAGACAACATTGGGACTGGGTTCCTTCCTTCCTGTCAGTGGCTACCCCTGAGGATTCTTGACCTCAGTGGGCGCCCAAGTGGGAGTTTGTTGACGGAGCCAGTCTCAGCAAAGCTCTACAGTGTCTCGGCAAAGCTCTACAGCATGTGGCAGACAATACTCTCCTATATGACTTCAATCGTGAAGTCAGTGCTCTTGTCTGTGGAAACAAGAGTGGATGTCATTAGGTACATATGGGTACCGAGTCCTTTAGTGGCAGTTCTGGTGGCTAGTGTGTCTCAGAGCACAAAGAAGGTCAACACTCTCGATGGGTAACGTGACGATAAGGATTAAATGTTTCAAGGCTACTATGCAGGTGAAATTTTACATATTCGCACATTCATGAGCACCACCCAGCCAGCATACGTGTGCTGTGCAGTGGGTGCCCAATAAATGTATGCCGCTGATAACCTGGCTGCCATCTTCCCTAGACACATCTTGGCTGAAGACCAATGGCATTTACATTCTCATTGGCGTCTCTGTGGTCTTCCTCCTGTGTCTTCTCCTCCTCCTCCTCTTCTGCTTCCATAGCCACCGTCAGAAAAAGCAGGGTAGGTGTCTGTGGTGAGAGTTGGCTTTGGTGGGGCTGTTGGGAGTGCTGGGAACAAGACCTCCCTCCTAAACGTGGGCCACTAATTATTCCCAGGGCTCCCAAACAGCAAGAATCAGCAGCAGAATCCACAAAAGAGGTGAGATCCCTGGAATGACTCCCATACCCTTGCCTAGTCTTGTGTCTCCAACCAGTCTCTAATGTTCATCTATCCTTTCCCATTAGGCTCAGCCTAGTTACTAATGGCCTGGAGAGCACACCAGG